CAAGGAGAAAATAAAAAGGACAGATATTTGAATGTTCGCTAGGGTTGCGAAATGCGGCAAAAGAAAAGTAATGAAAATCTAGAAAAATTCATAAAGAAAGACAAAAGAAGAAATAAAGGAAATTTTTCATTCTCAACGTTGAAGTAAGACCATGCCCCTGTTTGACACCCATTTTCTTCCCATTCTTTCTCAATTGTTTTCTCTTTCTTCATTTGAACCACACATTCTATCAATAAAATAATATTACACATAAACCAAAAAATTCTCCTTACTTTTTAACCACACATTCTTCCATTAATCACTATTCCAGAATTCGTTCTTTCTCCAAAATAGGTGTCAAACACAACTCAAGCTCAACAAACCCCGTAGCTACATTTACTAAAATTCTCATGTACGGTTCTGGAACGGATATTCCAATTCGTTCAGGGTTCAAATCTCGAGCAAGGGTTTGAATCTAAGAGAAATTCTAGAAAATGTAGAAGTGATGTGGATTATTTAAGAATCGGCATGAGATGCAACCCAGTCAAGCAGATGAGAGTCAGAGGATGATAACCCCATGTAGCCTTCACTTCACACTTCACATCAAAACAAAGGTTAGTTCAAAGGGAAAATCAAGGGAAAAAACTTAGCGAAGATCTTAAAATAACTTAGGAGCCAAAGACATTCACCTATCATCAAGGCCAAAAGCCCATAATTTTACATTTATAGGAAAATAAGATTAGTGGCTTAGGACATCTACGCAATTGATTTTTACTATCTACTGTCCCCATGATATAAATTATTACAATGATGCTAAAAAATCAAATTAATCAGAAAGGACAGTGAGATATATAGATCTCTCGACAGGCAACATGTGAACAGTAACCCCTTCCTGCATCATACTGATTGGTTGAAGGAAAACTCGTCCCAGAATTTTGGCTTTCCATAATCAAGAAGATGTCCAGAGAATCCTCTTTACTCTTTCTTTTTTCTAGGAACCACATTAGGCCAAGGAGAAAATTGGTGAACCAAATATGAAATCCAAACATGTTCTAACAATCTTCTTAAAACAAACGGAAGTTATTAATCTGCCATTGAACACTAAAGAAACAGAACCAATAGGCAGCCTTTCCTCATTTAATTGACATCTCCTCCTTTACAGTATTTTAACTTCAAAGTATCAAATATCTCAACCAACATAATGTTAAATAATCTCAGAACTAACATCTCCTGCTGAGAAAAAACCCACAAACTGGCTTGCTAACAATTTTGACATACCCTTGTTAAGCTTTCAAATTAATAACAATGAAAGATTCACAAACTATGATCAACTACTAACATGGATATCGATGATCCCTGTGATACTAATGTCAATATTGTCAGGCAAATGAGAGAAGTCAATTACCACCAATAAGAACTCCACATCTTGTTCATGATCCATACTAAAGTCTAGAATTTTGAAGGGAAGTAGGAAAGACATTGAACATAGGTTCACTAAATTGTAGCCTGTGCACCACACACATGCACAAATAGAGAGAGACAGAGCTAAAATCTACAGATGAGTCATTAACTCGAGTTGACGAATCATAGCAGTATTCCTAGCAAGTATACTAACCCCAAAAGAAAGCCAAGCTTTAATCGTAAATACATCCAATTCATCTATGTATTCTAATTCTTATTATCCATCCTAACCAATAAATAAATTGTATGAAATTAAGAAAGAATAATCACCCTCCTCATGTCTCTTACCCCCATCAAAGAGAAGTAGAAAAAAGGGAACTCAAACCGAGAACTCAGAGAAGTCATGCAAATAGGAAAAAGATACCAGTCATGTTCTATTGATCTCAACATTTTAAGAGCAGTCCTCTGAAGTCAAATTGTGCAGATAAAACTTGTTAAGAAGAAATAAGATTGCTCTCTCTCTCTCTCTCTCTCTCTCTCTCTCTCTCTCTCTCTCTCACACACACACACACACACAAAATCAATTAAGCATAAACAAGGAAACATGACTTGCCAACAAATAAGAAGTGGGATACATAACTTTCAATAAGAAATTTAAAACCAATTTCTAGCTCTGCATCAAATGATCCATCGGGATAGCGTCGAATTATCTCCGATCGCTGACACCAAGGAAGGAAATCCTCATATAAGTCTACAGCAGCAACCACAGCAAATAATTGCTCTGGGGAGTATCTAACAATTGAAAGATAGTCAGTTCATCTAGCAGATGATCAAAAAACTTAAAAGTCACATTTAAAGATTTGAGAAATAGTGAGAATCATAAAACACATGATGGGAAAACAGCATTGGACGTTCATAGAAATTGATTTTGATTTCTAAATGATGTCTTAACTCAATCCAGTCAAAAAAAAATTGCAATTGTATGCTTCATATCTCTGTCTCTCCCAGCTCAACCAGTCTAGTAAGGGGTTGAGCTGAGGATTTCATTTCTAGTTTGATCAAGCTTGACAATAAATTTTATCATATGAATTTTTTTGCATGTTTGACAACTTTATCATCCGACAAATTGTTAGAAAATTAAGTACGTACCACGAATATAATCTGATAATGTGTGGAAGTGTGGGCATGTGTTGTTTGTTTTCAGTTAATGAAGGCAAAAATGAAGACGAGCAGGAAAAAAATGTGCTTCCATTCCTACAATTTGAACCATCGGCCCCCATAGTAAATCTGGGGGAACAAATTCAGCCCTCTCTAGGGTACACTCTACTAAATAGCATTGGATTTTTAGACCTTGCTTCCAATATATCACTAATGTCTCCCTGTATAGGAACAAAGGATAACCTAGAAGTCCGGGACATCATAACTTATTTTTTGAGACTCAATATTGTATTAAGACTAGGATTCTATCTTATAAGGTTAACGTTATTAAGAGGAGTAATTCAAACATTTATATATTAATCTTTGTTTAAATTTTTATTCAATGTGAGATTTATCCCTTAACATGCTCCCATAAGATGAGGCTCGTTCGAACGTGCTAATCTTGAAATCATTGTGCTTATTTGAGTCTTAACTGGATCCAATTGCTCATTTGAACTTAATGGCTATGATATCATATTAAGACTTTAGTTTCATCTTAAAAGATCAAACTTACAGTAATCCAAGTCCTTATATATTGATCTATATTTATATCTTTATGCAATGTGGAATTTATCCCTTAACAAACACATTGTTTATCTATTATAAACATGTGTCAATTGGTGAAAGAAAATGTAGGCAGGGAGGTTCAAAATCTGTGTAAACAAATGACAACAGGTTATCCACAATGAAATGTGTTTCATCACGCACCGAATGAAATTTATAAAAAACTCAATTGCTTCACCATTCATTTAAGCTATCCAAAGATTCAATCTTCACTAAAAATTCAGGATCCCTTGTTGCAATACAAAATGCCAAAAAAAAAAAAATTATTTCAAAACTTTCAGAGAAAGAAACACGGGCATATACATACAGTATATAAACATAATTGGGCACAACACACTTATGTAATTAAAGAATAATAAAAAGGAAAATGGGAAGTCATAATTGAAAGAAGCATACCCCATGACACGTCTCTCTTCGTAAACTTTAGCTAACATATTCCCCTCTTCGCCATCACCACACCCCAAAAATCCCCTTTTCTGGACAATAACATTATGATTATTCGATAAAATTCCCGAATCCCCTAAACTAAAATTCCAGGAACCAGCTACTGCTGCTTTATTGGCTGAAGAAAATGCACTTGACCCTCCAATTGGACTCAAGCACCGAATCTGATTGTAATCTGTACACTTTATTATCCGTCGTCGGTATAAATCCCGACACGAGAACAAGCGCGTAAGCGCTTTTGACGCGGAATTAAATGCACGCATTTTGAAGAAAAACTTATGATTTTTTTTCTTCAATTTGGAAACCCAATTTATTTTCTCATGAATTTCGGGATATTATTTTTGAGAAATACGAAGAATAATGAAAAAAAATAGTTTCAAAAAGAACTCATGTGAGTAATTTTTCGGACAAAGAAGCGGTATGCTAGGCCGCTTATTGGATTTCTGTATGCGTTCGGTGGAGCTTTTGGTTTTGGATTCCTCATATTTTAGCGGTTGTCGATTTTATTTATTTATTTATTTTTTCCCTTCCATGAGAATTTTATTTTACTTTTTATAAATCGACAACTCTAGACGGTAATTTTTATTAACGAAAGAAAATATTACTAGGATGGATTAGGCCTCTCCAAACAAAAAAAAAAAAAAATCTATAATACGAACAAAAAGGTTGCATTAGTTCTTTGAAGATAATCAACTTCTGGTGTTGACTGTCGAGTATTAGCACTGTTATCGTAGAGTTTAAGAAGCAGGTTAAGATGATGTTACAATCACAATCATAAACAACCATGTTGCAAACGCTAATTGCGATAGCTTATTCTCGATATATTCTCTTTGCGGAAAATGTAGCAAAATTTGTAAGAATATATATGAAAAGACAGACGATTTTCTCCATCAAGGAATTGGTCATTTCTGGTACTTGGGACTTGCTTTTGGCAAAGGGTAGAAGAGTGACAAAAAACCAAATAATTGAGCCAATTCGCTTAGGAAATAGACCTGGAAACACTGGATTGTGGTTCAATGCTCGTTCAAATATATTATATTTATTCCACGGATAGGCTCAATGCTGCAAATCTTTGCTTTGTCAAATCTTGTTTTGCAGTTACAACCATAACAATTTGAGAGTCCATGTATGGCTGCGAAAAATCAACATAATCGTATCTATGATCCATATATTCATAACCCCAGCTGATGCATCCAAGCGCTAGTTGAAAATAGGAGTTTCAGTATCACCGCGACATGAGATATAGCAAGAAAGTTGAAAATCGAATGTATATTTATCTTGTGTATATACATAACATATTATTAGATGATACTCTATTATCACAATAAAAATCAGATTAACAAATTCCTCACTTAGCCTTGGTTTTTGTATCCTAAACTCGATGGTTTTGATGCTCAAATTGGAGCAACAAGAAAAATGATTATTTGGGATAGAGAGATTTAAATTTTGCGTAGTTTCCTTCTCTTAAGTGAGAGTATTTATGGATTTCCCTTAAGACTTTGGGACAATTCAATCATTTAGGAAAAATGATCGGTGGGTAGCCTCTTATTGATTAACTTATAACTAATTATGTTACAGATCACATTTTATTCATTAATTTAAGTGCCTTTCATTTATTGGCTTGAAAGTCACACTTTGAATACTTGTCCATGTGAACCTCCAGTAACGATTTTTTAACCAAACTGGTGGGGGAATGGCTACTCAGGTCGGGTGCAAGCCTTTCATACTTCGCATCCATTTATGTTTCGCAAGTAGAAAACGAGGTTTGCGGATGATTTTATTGATTCAACAAATAGTTCCTAAAGTCCGATTTTATTATTGATATTAAATCTAGGACTTCAATTGTATCAAGACATGGTGCTGTGAACTCATTGATAGCTTTGCCCGAACATATTTTTTTCCCTATTTATCCGAGATGGCCCATTATGTGTTTAGTACTCGTTGGGTTCACGTATAAACGGCTATGATTGTCAATGACATGATTCAACAGTTTATACTTTCTGTTGGAAATCTTTAAACATGTCAATACCTCTATGGCTATTCTTTATTTTACAGCTTTCAATTGTTAGGTTTGATCATATTCCTTATCTTCTTTGAAATCTTTTGTCTAGGTACGATTTTTTTTTCTTCTTACGATATTGAATCCTCTACAAATAACCTGGTTGGATGGTGGGAATTACTTTGGTGCCGTAGGTTACCCAAAAGATAAAGATTTATACATGGTGGTGCACTATTGATCTACTTCCATCACTAGAATGCCTTCGGAGGAGAAATGTAGCGGCTAATTCACAGTGTAGTTGATCATGAGCCTGTGAGTGGACCTGCTACAATTGTTGAATGAAGTCCTCGGCCTTACTATGCATTTTAACAGTAGTAGAAACTGGGACCAAGTCAAGGGGATTGCGAGGAACAAGACCATACACCATCTGAAATGGACTAAAACATGTACTCCGATTAACAGCATGATTATAAGCAAATTCTGCCTAACACAACTTTTGATCCCATGACTTGATGTGATCACCGACCAAGCAACGTAGTAAATCACCTAATGAACGGTTAACAACCTCAGTCTGACCATGTGTCTGAGGGTGATATGCACTGCTGAAGTCCAACTTTGTATTGACCGAGTGCCATAAATTGAGCCGAAGTGACTGCTGAAGCGAGTATCCCAATCAGACACAATAGATGTAGGCAGACCATGCATGCGATAGACCTCACGAAAGTACAGTAAGGCCACATTGACAGCATCTATAGTTTTCTTGCAGGGGATGAAGTGAACTATCTTGGAGAACTGATGAACAGAGTCAAATCCACGCCGAGTCTTGGGAAGCCCCACAACGAAATTCATGTTAACATCTGTCCAAGGCCGGGTAGGATAGGTAGGGACATATACAAGCCAACATTTGTCGCCTTGCATTTAGCCAAATGACAAGGACGACAACACTCCATAAACTTGCCGACATCCTTGTGCAATGATGGCCAAAAGTAAGAAGCAGCAACAAGTTGCAATGTTCTGCCACGACCTACATGACCCTCATTGTGCAATCCTTGAACAATCTTCAACCTCAAACTGCCCTCTAGAATACATAACTGATTGCCACAAAGGAAACCATCAACCCATGCAAACTTCGACTGCATACCTTTCTGCAACTTCCGAATAACATGGGAGAAATATGGATCAGTAGCATATAACTCACAAAGACTATCAAAACCTGGAACCTCCACTGGCATTTCTGTCAGGAGAGTTTGGTGCAGACTTAATTAATCTGCCACCTTGTTAAGGGCACCTGCTTTGTGCTTAATCACGAAAGTAAACAGCTGCAAGTAAGCAATCCAAAAGGCATGCCAAGCGGATACCTTATCTTGAGTACCAAGGTGCTTGAGGGCATCATGATCAGTATACAAAATGAACTCCTTCTGGAACAGATAGTGACGCCAATGTCGAACTGCCTAGACTATTGCATAGAACTCCACATCATAAGTATTTATCGAGAAATCGGGCAGAAAGCTTCTCACTAAAATATACAACGAGGCAGTTGTTCTGACTCAGCACACCACCAATACCCACCTTCGAAGCATCACAATGCAGTTCAAACGGCTGGGTAAAGTCAGGCAGCACCAAAACTAGAACAGTAGTCAACTTCTTCTTAATCAACTGAAGAGATGCTTCTGCCTTGGGAATCCACGGAAACTTGTCATCCTTCATACAATCTGTAATTGGTGCCATGATACTGTTAAAATGTGGTATAAACCTGCGATAAAATGAAGCAAGACCATGAAAACTACGCACTTCTATAACAATTCGAGGTTGTGGCCACCTGCTTATTGCCTCTACTTTCGATGTGTCCACTGCTAACCCCTCATTTGACACCACATAACCTAAAAATACAACACGATAAGTCAAGAACGCACACCTTTTCACTGCAACATAAAAGTGATCCCTGCGAAGGACTGAAAGAACTTCCCGAAAGTGCTGGATATGATCATCATCGTTAGCACTATAAATCAGAATATTATCAAAGTAAACGACAATAAATTTAACGATGAATGGGCAAAGAGCCTGATTCATGACACGCATAAACGTACTAAGCGCATTGGAAAGGCCTAAAGGCATGACTAACCACTCGTACAATCCTTCCATCGTCTTAAATGTCGTCTTTCACTCATCCTCATGTCTGATCAGAATCTGATGGTACCCACTCTTCAAATCAAGGTTGCTGAACACGCAAGCACCGGTAAGTTGGTCCAACAAATTATCCTGGCGAGGAATAGGAAAACGGTAACGCAGCATAATCTTATTGATTGCCCTACTATCCATGCACATGCGCCACGTCCCATCCTTCTTCTACATAAGGAGAGCATGAACAGCACAAGGACTAAGGCTCTCCTTGATGTGCCCCTTTGCAAGAAACCCATCCACTTGTCGCGCAACTCCTCATGTTCACTGGGGTTTATCCTGTAATGCGCCCGATTAAGCAAAGAAGCATCAGGCACCAAGTTAATCTGTTGCTAAATATCCCGCAGTAGTGGCAATCCATCTGGAAGCTCTTCTGGGAAGACCTCATGAAACTGCTTTAGCAATGGCTGAACCCTGTGAGGGACCTCCTGCTCGCTGTCAATCGATTTTTCCACCAGCACATACACTACCCCAGATTCCTCCATCTCTGTTTCGAACTTCACTCTGGTCAGTAAATTGGCGATGTCCCCAACTATTTTTACTGAAAGCAGAAAGCTGTACGTGTTGGTATACTCATCATGCAACAAATGTCAGTCAAACTACCACGGTCTCCCTAACAGCAAGTGGCATGCATCCATCTCTACCACATCATATAAAACCTGATCTTTGTAGGTAGGTCCAATAGATAAACTGACTCGAGTACGTTGGGACACTTCTACATCATTGACCCTCTTCAACCAAGCTAATTTATACGGTTTGGGAGGCTTCTCAGTCTGCAAACCCAACTTTTTAACGACCTCCTCAACTACCACATTCTCGCAACTACTAGAATCAATAAAAAATTTATAAACCTTTTCCCCAACAGTACACGTCGACTGAAAGATATTATTACGCAGCCAGTCAGTGTTATTCTCCAGGGGAGTCAAAAAGCTCCACCTCACCACCAACGCCTGACCGACATCACCGACTATAAACTCTTCCTCCTCTGTGGCTTCTGCAGTGTCTTCATTGTCAAAAACAGGCGAACCTTCATAATCTCCATGTCCCTCATCAACAAAGAGTCCTCTGCGCGGATTCTTGGGACATTCAGACTGTCTATGGTCTGTACCTTCGCATGCAAAACAATGAATACCACCTCCACGGCGTGTGAGCTGTTGAATAGGATTAGTTCTATGAGGACCAGGTTGAGTAGGATTACCAAGACGTGTCATCTGCTACTGTTGATTATTGGAATAACTACCCGTAGTGAAAGGAACTGTACTTCTTCTGGACTGTTGTTTCTCTACTTATATTGCCCTCTGACGTGCTTCAAAAACTGTCACAGGATCAAATATATTCAGTGTATCCTGTATTTGGGGACAAGACAACCACATATCGTGACACCAACTACTTCTCCGTCTCCAACACCTCATTCCTCGTAATCAGCATGTAAAATTTTGTGGTATAGTCACTAACCATTTTCAAGCCTTGACGCAGATTCTACAGTTGCTGGTACATGGTCCGAACATAATTATAGGGTGGAAACTGCTTCTTCAGTTTATCCCACGATGTAAACTTGGACTTCTCTAACCTGGATCTCATCACTTTAGTCTGTTGCCACCACGTCGCTGCTCGTCACGAAATCTCGTCGCAACAAGAGGCACACATTTATCAGCAGGAACCTCCTTAATTCTAATATCTTATCCACTGCAGTCACCCAATCCAAGAACTCCTCTTGACTTAATCCACCATGAAATTCAGGAATCTCAACCTTGAATCCTGATTCCCAACGCCTGTTTTCATCCTTACCAAGCCCTCCGTCGGACTGGCAGATCTATTGGGTGCTCAGGTTGTGCAAACGAATTCTCATCATCAGAAGCCTCAACCGGTTGGACCACGGCCGCATGTTGTTGTGGCATGAGTGCAACGATTTGCTGTATCAACAACTCCACTTGTTGACGCAGCTATACGATTTCATTACGTCTATGCACCTCTTTTACCGGGGCTTCTGGACGTTTTCTGGCGGCATGGTGAAGGAACGATTTCGGCTCTGATACCAACTGACGTAGCGGAAAATTATATGAAAGATGAACAACCTCAAAAATATGAGAAAAACTCCGGAGAAATTTTATTCAATTCAATAAACTGCGGCCTCAAAGGGTTTACAATGCTTTAAATAGTAAAACCCTAGAAAAATTCGAAAAATAAATATTAAAAATTAAAAAAATGATATTTTTCCATAAATGAGAAAATTCGAGATAACAACTTAAATGAAAGCTCCTAAGATTTCAGGATCGTCCTCCAACAAACGAAATACAAATCCGAATTTTATTGAATGAGATATTGCCAAAATAAAAATTACCATAAACGGCAAAAGCGCTTAATCGAGGGCATAAATGGCGGAATTTGCGTAAAATTCGACGTACATCAGGGCTAAAGGCGCTGAGTTGTGATCATTGGCCCGTTTCCAATCGAATTAGATTAGCAATTCGCCAAAAAGGGACAAACCCAAAATTATCATGAAATCATTATTTTGCCTTACGATTCCACTTTATCATAAACTCTAACTCTTTATGCACTTCATCAGTACTTAAGTACTTTGGCCAGTTGGAGAAGAACAAAAATTGACTCACAATTAGGGGCTGATTAAATTGAATGTAGATGCTGCAATTCAAGATGAGCGAAACAGGTATGGAGTTGGAGGGATGTGTCAAACTCACAGGGGTAGTTATAGCGTCTTTCTCAAAGAAGTTGGAGGGAAAGGTGACGTCCCATATCGTTGAATGTTGGGCCATTCTGGAGGGTCTTCTATTTGGACACAACCATGACCTTGACATTGACCTTATTGAATAACAGTGTCACAATGCTGACCAAGCAGTGAAAAATCTACCATTCTTGTATAGGAAGGCATGAGGCAATTTGTGTTGCTCTTGCTTTGACAAAATCTGATTTGTCCTGTCTAGTTGCATGTTTTGGGAATCTCTTCTATTGACGATATTGTTTTAGATGACACTAGTGAATAAAAGCTTGTTTGGAATTTACACAAAAAAAATAATAATAATAATGAAGCCCTGGAATCTTCTCTCTCTGTTTTCCTCTGTTTCTTCCCTTTGTCATTAGATTTAATTGCTGCAATTACTGTCATTTATATGCATCAATTTTGAGAATCTAGCAGCTGAAAGCCTGAAACTACAGCCAACAGTTTTTCAAAATTTAAAAAGCAACAAACTCTTTCATTTTTCATTTTTTACAAACCCATAAATGTTGGAATGCTGTAATCTCAATTTTGTAGTTTCAAACCATAGTAATAGTGCATACGGTCGAGTGTTAACCTCTGTGCTTACTTATAATTACATTAAAAGCTTTTTCTCAACATACGACATCTGGGAAAAACGAATATACAGGCATGGTTTAGATCATGCTTTTAGTTAGCTATTAACTCCTCGGTTTTCCCTTACTGTTAGACAATATGGATTTGATTATTTTGAGTCACAACAATGGGTGGCCTAAAGAATCTTGAGACAAACCTTACATGGCCTTTAGCTAAAAGAAACGATGCCCATCTCCAAATCCTTCTATGCATCAGCCATGAATGTATATAACCATGACATGACCATCCTTTATCTACTACACGAATAATTATGATACATAACACAATTGCATCAATAGCACTTGTAACCATTAGCGGACCGGAAAAATGCTCAAGGCCTAAACTCAGCTTATCGTCTGGTTCGCTTGATAAGGTGAGAGTTGGCAAGGAAAGAATTCTCTCTTCCATTCGATTTATTTCTCCATTCTCTTTCATATGTAGAATTGCTTGTGATATATCATCAGTCAAAGACGAACCCTTCGGGAATACCTAGAAGATAATCAAAGTGCATCAGTATTTTCATGCTAATTAATTCCACTGAGGTTATTCATCGAGTAAATAATGAAAAGAAAAATCTGTCTAGTTCCCTTCAAAATTGGCTGTGAAAATATGCTTTTATGACTTTCCATAAAACGAAAAAGATGGAGAGAGCATATTAACATGGGCTTGAATCTTACATAAGCAAGGCCTCCAACTTCGAAGCTAGGTTTTGCCATGACGTAGCGTTTATTTTTTGCAACGAATACTTTCGCATGTGGACTAATCAAGAATGCTGCAGAAATCTGCCCCTTTTCGAAAGCTTCCAGGTAGTCGCTGCTAGAAGCAATTTTTTTGATGTTTGCTTCATTGAATGTCAAAATATCGGTGAGATACTTCACGACGAAACCCTTTCCGTTGCATCCAACAGTTGCATTAGTATTCTTAAGATAGTCAATATCTACTATACATGGTTTCAACCTTGGAACTGTCATCATAGAACTCAGAACTGCAGTATAAGATGCTGTTACAACCACAATCACACACAACCATACTGCAAGCATCAGTCGCGATAGATTATTTCTGATAGATTCTCCTGGACATAGAAGGTTAGCAATTTGTAAGATTTTTCCCATTCAAATAAAATCACACATATACGTGTCAACTGTGTCATATCGAGTAGGCACTTACTATGTGCAAATGATAGAAGAGTGATAGAAAGCCAAAGAATGGAGCCAATCATCTCAGGAAACGAATCTGCAAACTCTGTATTGCCGTTCACCTTCTCATTGAAATAAATAATGGCTGCCGTGCATTGGCTCAATGCTGCCAGCGCCGCCCACAATTTCCATTCAAAGGCCTCCACAAAAATGAATCCTTGCCGTTTCAAATCTTTATGTGCAGGTGCTACCATAACAATTTGAGTGTCCAGATAGGGTAGTGAAAAATCAGCATAACGATATCGATGTTCCAATATATTCGTGTCACCGACTGCTGCATCCAAGGACTAATTAACACAGGAGTTTCAGATTCAGGGATATAGCAACAAATAAGTTAGTTTTGTAAAGGGCTTTAAAGCCTCACATGGCTTTGTTGATTAATCTTGGAAGTCAAGTAAGTCACGCTCCTTCCTTAAATATTTATTTTGTCTTTTCAATATTTTCCATGAAAACCTAAATTGGATGAATTACTGCTTACCAAACATGCTCGAAATTATCGTTGTTAAACTGGATTGTATTGTCATGCTAAGAGAGAAGGAACGTGTTTTACCTTATTAGAAACTGCAATAACCAGCTCATCGTAGGTGCCAGGAAATGGAACGAAAACATGGGGCAAATGATACTGAAGTAGCTTAATTGCAGCTTCAAAAACATCAAGGGAAAATCCGCTGAATGTTCGATTTTGTACTTGGTCAGAGCTCACGTGCACAAACTGATGGAAAGCAGCCATAGCAGGTACTCCGATTTTCAATTCGGATTCCTTTGGAACTGTTTGCTCACCTCCTGGCCAGTAAATTGACGCCAATTCATTGCAGTTTTTTCCCTTTTTCCTGGTACCCTTTCTCTTATGATCTATGAAATCTGTGGAGAAGCCATGCTCAAGTGACCACAATGCTATTTGTCTATAACTTTTTCCAATCACGTTAATGATCTGAAATGTCGTATTTTGTAATGTTTTCTGGTTCTTGAAGCTGATTTTTCCACTAAGACCTTCAAAATTACTAGACGAAATATACTTTATCAATTCACCTGAGTTCATTTTTCCTTTTGAATTTTGCAAGAATTTTGCAATGACCGCAGTAGCATCGTATGCTTGAAGAGCATACATGCTTGGATTTGGATGTTCTTCTTCAGGATATGATGACCTGAACTTTTTTCGAAACGTGAATTTAAAATCTTGAAAATATTTGCTAGAGTCTACAAAATTCGTCTTAAATCCGATGACCCCTTGCATATTTCTTAAAGAAGATGGCTCAAGAGAATCGAGAAGACTAACAACATCTTCGAACATAATCCATGCATAACCTTTTTCCATGAGTCCCATTTTCTTAGCCTTCTTAAAAAGAATTGTAGAGAACTCCAAAGACGACTGCATTAGTAAAAAAATCCCATTTCTTTTGCTTTTGAGTTTCTTCAACTCTTCTTGGATGAAGGTTTCAGGTTCTCGTAAAGAGGTTAGGGAAGGAAAAGCTAGATCAAATTCAACAGAAGAACTGAAATCTTTTAGTGACTCAGAAAGTTGTTTCTTTAGTCTAGAATCCGAGTAGAAGTTGTTGCTTTGTTCATATATGACTGTGACTCTTCGCCACCTGAAATGTCCTATAATTTCTGCAGCGCATTGCATTTGAATGGAGATATCAGTATTGAGCTGGAAAACAGATGATGGTTGAGGAAATAGCTGTGATGGAGAAATGGCTGCTGAGCCAATGGTGATTATGGGGGTGGTGCTGACTTCTTCGAATTCTGAGAGAAGAGTGGCTTCTTCCAATGTTAATGCTGCAATAATTGCTTGTGCATTTTTTTTCTTGACAAGGTCAATTGCTGCAAAATAATTGGAGATTGCATTTAGCAACTTTTATGGCAAATAAAATTGAACACATATCCCATATATAATGGTCTCTAAAAAAGAATGAAATTAAATTGTCAAGGAATATCTTTACTGTTATCAGTTGTGCCGGTGTATACGCATTTGAGTCTTGTGATCTGTATACCTGTGCTTGGCAGTTGTTGTGACTTAGCTTGGCTAGTTTTTGTGTCGAGCACTTTGACATGTCTATTCTCAAATACACTAAATGATGCTTATGTAGTGTTTTTCATTTGGATTCTAGTTAACTTAACTATTAGATTGAGATCGGTCAAATTCTTCCCGGGTTGTGTTCCAGATCATTAATTAAGTCTTCTTTGCAAATGATCCAAAAGTGACAATCGAAAAGAGAAAAAAAAAATAAAAAAATAAAATCATAACGATCTTTTACGCAAGTGATTTCAAGAAATGTCAACGAATGATGAGCAAGTTAACAGAAGTTTTACGTACCAGTGGAAGCTGCTCGAGCAAACTTTCCATTTGTATCTTTAATGAGCAAATCCAACTTTGAACAATTCAACCACTGAGTATAGTCATTGACAGCCATTTGAATGGCAATTTGCTGCTCCTTTCCGACACGAGAACTTTGATCAATCACACTCCCTACCCTGCCAAATATGTGAGAACAATCTCTTGGACAATTGCATCTTTTCTTATTTTCTTTTGCTTCTGCTTGGATGAATAGTGCAGAGAAGATGAACAGGAAGTATAGAAGAGGAGAGATTCTTCTATGCAAAGTGCTTTTTTCCATGTGTAATTACTTTGAGCTTGTTGAAGTTAAATGGAATAACATATATTCAGATTCAAACCCATTATTGGAGATGCAAATATCCTTTCTACAATTACACGTAATTCATTGACTTCTCAATATTCGAGACCAATTCTTGAAATCTTTGCATTTAACCGAATGTTCAAAACAATTAAGGGAAGTTGCCCAGAAATTTACAAAGTAAAATAACGAATTACTTCAATTATTTCAAAGATGGACATACGTCCCTTCCTTTGACTAATTCATAATAGATGCAACCACAAAAATTGCAGGAGACGCCATTCTGATTTGGCGAATAAAGTTGACTTAACCATTTGAATTTAGCAAAGTTCACAGATATTGCGATATTGAAGAAAAAATATATATCTTAAAATATTTGAGGATGACACAGTGTACCGTAGTTAGCACACCAGTGAACATTCCAAGAAAAAGTGAATAAAACAGTTGTCTTGCAATGTAAATGTATTGGAAAGAGACCACTCTGACTTTTCCAAAAATATAATTTCTTTTTCCTTTTCTAATCTAAGAGAAAATTCAAATTTACCAATCTAGAGAGGTGTGAACAGGGGTGAACGAGAAGTAAATGTAGGTTAGCCACTAATGAAATCTAACTTGAGCAAACACTTGTTGGTTTTGTTTGTGAGACTGAGTCTTGGTATTAATCTTACGTGCTTTTCACATTCTGGATTCACATCCAATCTGAGCTTCTACGCCGTAGATTGGCAATATAGCAATTTCGGCTTGTGATCATCATGTGAGGCTTTTCATGGTGTAATTAATTGTTGAAGAAAAGAAGATGATACCGGATTTAATCCAATACTAAATTGTTACAGAAATAAGAGATTATAATCACAATACGAAGTAATTGATCACTAAGAAAAAAATAATTTACAAGCAATGGAGATTTTATTATGAAAAGAATACAGAGATTTCGTATTTGCAATGTTTCTAATTTCTTACTAAATAATAATGAAAAGTCAAATATATATAAGGAACAAATAAGGACATCTAAACTCTAATAGTAGAGTTGTAGTTGAAGTAAAATGCAAAAACGGAGTAGATAAGGAAAAATTGTGTATGTCGAAAACAGAACAAGTGGTGCCTTGGTGCCACCCGGCCGAAATCTCAATGGCGCCGCAGCACCTACTCTTGGATCCTTTATTTCAAAAACTTGATTTTCTTCGTCCCAAAACATTTTTCAAGTCTAACACAAATTTCAACTCCCAAATAAGCTTCTAAGTAGAACTTCAACTAGAATTCTTCAAGTAGACTTGAATAAGATTCTACAATATCATTTCAAATAGAATTCTTCTTAATATGTACTTTAATTAGAACTCCCAGTTATTTTCAAAAATCTAACAATATCCACATTGATTCGAATTCCACTACAATGAACAAAATTTCAAAGAAAAATTCTCCACATAAAGACAAATTCTACTGCAAGAAATAAACTCGATATTTTCAATGAAAAACATGAACGAAATTCTCCATTAAAAAAAATCAACTGAAAATATTCTCCACATTTGTTATCCTAACTAGAGGCAAAAGTAATCTAATGACCATCAAACAAGGCTGATACAAACCTTATAACAAAATCACAATTGAATACATCAAAAAAAGATTTGGGCTAAAATCAACAGCCTTAACGGCATTCAAACCATCAACTAAATCAGCAAAGTTGTATCTATATGGAACTTTATGGTAAAAAAATGGGTATGTTACTAGCAATTGAATACAATGATACCGCGCGATGATGGTGATAAGGCTGATTTATCCATAAATTCTAAATTCAAGTGAAATGTATTTCTTAAAGAAGACCCCAAATTAGACTCCAATGGTACAAAATCCAACTCTAAATCCTCCTAAATTCTTTGAATATGATTATTGCTTAAAGATTCTGTATAACACTGCAAGATATATAAATGTGATTTTCTATGTTCCTTTAACGAAACATAGGCTCATTTACTAACTTTCAGGATTCCAACTTCAACTGTATGCATGTACCCTTTTGAATTAAGTGAATTTAAGGAGACAAGGTTTTTTTAAGATCTGAAACGTGTATGACTGCGCCAAATGTTCTAATCATTCCATCAAATATCTTTATTTTGACCTGATCAATACCAACTATCGACAAGGTGTATTATTATTGATCATCAAAACATTTTTTGTAACTTCTTCATATGTTGAAAATAGATCCCGATTAGGAGTCACATGAAAGGTACAAATTCTATAAAAAAATTTAAGCCTAGTCAGGTTTGGAGTTGTAGTCAAACATAAGTAAAATCACTCCATCACTGTTAGGATTTTCTACAATAGTTGATTCCCTTGAAGTTTTTGATTATTGATTTGTAGTCAATTTTGATTTATTCTACAATTTATAACAATTGTTTAATGTGTTCATTTTCTTACAATAATTACAAGATTTGAAATTAGATTTTGACTTGCCCCTTAAACAACTATCATTAACAATGAGGCCATCTTTATGACCCTCAGATGCAACAAGCTACTTCATTTTCTCATTTGAATATAAAACATCACAGACTTCTTTGACGGTGATAGTATTACGACTATATAAAATCATGTCTCTGAAAGACATGTATGAAGCAGGGCAATAAATACAATAAAATCAATCACAAATCTTCTTCATCATATTTGACCTTCAATGTCTCCAAATCAGCAAGGATTTCCTTAAAAGCAGTTAAGTAATCCTCAAAAGACGTATCTTCTGTCATACGATGAGAATATAGACGTTGCTTCAGATGCAATTTGCTAGTAAGACTCTTCGTCATGTATAATTGCTCCAATTTTAATCATAATGTAGCAGTTGACTTCTCTTTCAAAATGTCTTCAAGAATATTATCTGAAAGATGAACATGTATTTGAGATAGGGACTTTCGATCCCTCCGTTGTTTCTCCTCCAGAGTTCATCTGTGGACATTTTGTCAAATATCAACAACGCGTAGCTCAAATCCATCTGAGCAAGTACTGCTCGCATCTTTACTTGTCACAAAGAGAATTATTACAATCTAATAGCGAAATATCATACTTTGTTGCCATTATGAAGGATCAATTGAGCTATTAATTTGATCAAGACCTCAATCTTTCCAAGAATTTCAACACCAAAATTTCTTATACATATTTGTTGAAGAAAATAAGATGGTACCGGTTTTAATCCAATACCAAATTGTTGGAGAAAATAAGAGATTATAATACAATATGAAACAAGTGATCACAAGAACAAAAGAACAAAATAATTTCTAGAGAATAGAGATTTTATTATAATGTGGAGAAAAAATACAAAGATTTTGTGTTTACGATGTTTCTAACTTCTTACTAAGCCCTTATTTGAGCCCCATTTTTTTGGAAAAAATGCATTCTTGAATATTGTTTTGACTTATTTCAACCACACATTTTTCAATAAAATAAATATTACACTCAAACTTAAAACTTTTCTTTATTTTTTAACCACAAATTTTTCATCCATACATTATTCAAAAATGCATTTTTTGACCAAAATGGGGCTCAAACAAGCTCTAAATTTTACTGAAGAGTCAACTATATATAGAAACAAATAGGGGACGTACAAATTATAATAGTAAAGTTGTAGTTGAAGTACAATGCAAAAAAGAAGTAGAAGATGAAAAATTTTGCAGGGCGAAAACAGAACAGGTGGTGCTTCGGCGCAGCGTAGGCCAAAATCTCCTTGGCACCGCAGCTCCTACTCTCGAGTCCTTTACTTCAAAACTTGATTTTCTTCATCCCAAAGTCTTTTTCAAGTCCAACACAAATTTCAAATTCCAATTGGGCTTCCAAGTAAAACTTCAACTAGAATTCGCCAAGTAAACTTGAATAGAATTTCATAATATCATTTCAAATAGATTTCTTTTTGATGTGCACTTTAATTAGAACTCTCAATTATTTTCAATAAAGAATTTGGGTGACCCAAATTCTAACATTAATATTGATGGTATTCTTGATTTGCATTAATAAGAAAAGGCTAAAAAGGTTGGTGAAAAGTGGATAAAAAAAAAATCAGAATCGAGTTGAATCTGGAGTGGAAGTTAGCATTTTGTTACTTTTTAATTCTAAATTCAAATACGATTTCCTAAACTAAAAATTGTTCGATTATAGGCGTGATTTTAAAAAAATAGATACTACAGTGTTTGAGTTATAATCATATATGATAAAAGTATTTAGATATAAATCGTGATTTAAAAAAATACCTTTTGTTGAATTCTACATTGCTTTTCTTGAACACAAAAAATCACGATATGCAATTGATGGATGTTCAATTGTCCATACTCCAATTGAAATTCACACATGGAACAAGAATGAGAGAATTAAGGTTTCTCTCTTCTTGTACTAACAAGAATATGAATCATTTTCTATTTTTCTGAAATTTTAATTGTTTCTTAATATAAGGTCGTCTATTAAACTTAATCCGGTCCAATATTTAATTAATTAAATTTAGTCCATGAATTAATTAATTCGGGTATGTTAACAAGCAACTTAATTAATTATCTAACGCTTGTTAATTAATTAATTGGTGAATCTCATTCTTCTAGTCTCATTTTGTGTGTGACTCGTTGGGTTCCTGATTACGGTGCCTAACGACATGAATTATTATTTTGATCTAATCAAAATCGATAGATTAAAATACGCATTTTAATTTATTATTAATTCACATTCTTGTCACAGATTGACATCTAATTATGTGTTGGACAATAAATGTGATCGAAAATGTCACGTGATATGATAAAATCAAACTTGTTCGTTTACCGTGAAATTATAATCTTTTCATCAATATAATTTGATCAATTACGAGATATGAATATGCGTCAATCTCAATTATCGATCATACCTTTCATCCCACTATTAAGTCAATGTAAGCCGAAAAATCTTTTTTTGACTTATGAGTACACATTGACCAAGGATTTCAATTTAATTGAATGAAATGTAGATCATAATTTTTTACTATCTAAGAGTGACGAATTCTCTATTGATCATTCATAATTTTCATATGATTCTTGATATACTCGAACAATACCGTATTAGCGACCTTTGGTAGAACAATATCACCAAAATATGATTATCCTCATATAAGGTACTATGATGACCTCAAATCAAATTACCAATTCTATTACCGAATGTTAGATATTAATCACCGACACTTAAATAGTTATCCATGTGGAATTTCTCCAACAATCTCCAATGTTTTTTCCTATAACAAAACATCCAGATCATTAAAGTGTCAACATATTTTGGCCTGTGAGACCAACTATTTACTTCACAAGTAAGAAATGTCACACGTAATAGTCTATCCGTAATAATGATATCCATATCTCGTTATTACTTACGATCATTGATGATTTAAAATTCAATTATATGTAATTTGTATATCACAATCATAAATCATTGTGATTAATATATTATTAAAATTTGAATCTACGGATTCTATTATTTAATTTAATATTAATTAAATAGTAGATCTGTCATAAAAATACATCAATTATATATTAATTATGTCCAAAATCGATTGGACCCTAAGCATAAAACTTACATTAACACGAAAGGATTGGACTCATTAGGCTTCTTGTCAACTGCAAAGTTCATGAGAATTCCCTTTCTAAGAACCAAGGAAATCATCATCAATTAGTGCTCATTCAAACCTCGGTCTTTTAGATTTACACCTATATAAACAAGCTTGGAAATGTTCTCGTGCCCACGATGGGCAGAATAAGACTGCCAACTTGCTGATGTGGCAGGATGTTGGCATTATAAGACTTCCCACCGTGGGCAGGAGAACAGCTCTACAAACGAGCTTCCACTTAGATCTCCTATCTTAATTTACTCACAGATAACGTGACACCTCTTATATCCCATTCTCCTGTAAATTAATGTATGAGAGAAATATGTAGAGATCGTTGGATATCGTCAAATCTTCGTAGTTCAGACTCGATGATGAATAGAAATCTTGAAAGGCGAGAGGCTTTCATAAAGAGGTCTTTAACCTTTCATTTTCAAAACTCGTGCATATGGCAAGTAAAACTCGTGCAAATAAGTAAACGTAGATGTAAGATAATTTGTATCCTATCAAGCAGTTTATCTGAACCTGATTAATTGCACACAGTGAACATGACGAGCAGGAATGAATAATGCTATAAGAGATGAATCGTAATGTTATGAAATCAGCCTCAACTACTTCATTCATGAAATCAATTCTCCTGTAAATTAATGTATGAGAGATTGGAAACTTTCTATTCAAATGTAGAAGACAATCTGTAGAAAAACGCCTTCAGATGTATCCAAATATAGCTCATTAGTTTCTAGATGATTGGAAACTTTCTATTCAAAATATAAATGAAAAAAATTGAGTGTACAAATTAAATATGGTTAGATGCTATGGTTAGCACTCCAGTCAGTTTTTAGTTTCAATATTGGTTAAATTATTCTGTCTCTGAATAGTGGGAGCCCCAAATAATCCTGAGCGAAATCTTGCATACTGTTGAACTAAAAGAAATGATGCCCATCTGGAAATCCTTCTATGCATCAGTGAAGATTGTATCGAGTCATGAATCGACCATCGTTGATGAATTACACGAACAATCATAATCAAGGATACAATTGCAGTAGTCATACTTGTAACAATTAACGGACCCGAAAAATGTGAAATGTATAAACTTAGGTCATCGATTTGTTGATCTGATGAGGAGCTGGTCGAGAAGGAAAGAATACGCTCTTCGAGTTTATTTATCTCTCCGGTTTGTTTCAAATGTAGAACTGCTTTTGATACATCTGCAGTGAAACGAGAACTCTTTGGGAATGCCTGCAAAAAAACCAAAATGGATCCGAATTAATTAATGCTGATATGAAAGTCAAGTGATGAAAAACAATTCCAAGGAGTAGAGGTGTCAAAATTTGTAACAAGATTCAAATGTAGAGGCTTGTAGCCCCCGTTGGCGAAACACTAAGTAATTAACGTAAAAGTGAAAGCTCATAGTCGTGGCACGCATGCCTAAAAAGGGCAGTGTCGGGCCAAAGGCAATGCCATGTCAAAACGAGGCTGTTCTGGTTTTACACGACCTGGTTTACACCTCCACCTTGAGTGTTTCAAATTAATTAAACTTGGATTTGAATCTTACATAAGCAAGACCACCGACTTGAAGGCTAGGTTTTGCAATGACATAGCGTTTGCTATTATTTGCTAGGAAAAGTTTGGCATGTGGACTGATAAAGAAGGCTGCTGAAATTTCCCCCTTTTCAAAAGCTTCCTCGTAGTCACTGATAGAACGAATTTTCTTGATCTTCTCTTCCTTGAATTTCAAACTATGCCTCAAATATCTTGGGATGAAACCCTCCCCATTGCATCCGACAATTGCATTAGTTTTATGAAGATAATCAACCTCTACTATACATGGTTGGAGCCTCGGCACTGTCTTCATTGAACTTAGAACTGCAGTATAAGATGCTGCCATCAGCATAATCACGAACAACCATACTGCAAATACCAATCGTGACAGATTATTTCTGATATGTTCTCCTGCGCAAACAAGATTAGCAATCTTTAATAACATGAAAAGGAGAGAAGATTTTCTAATTCAAATCAGTTTTCTGATTTCTAGTTCAGACTTACTTTGTGCGAATGAGAGAAGAGTGACAGAAAACCAAATTATAGGACCAATTATCTGAGGAAATGAACCTGCAAACTCTGGATTTTCATTCAAGCGTTCATTCAAATAGATAATGAACCCATTGGATAAGCTTAACGCTGCCATCACCACCCACAATTTCCATTCAAAGGCAGTCACAGCAATGAATTTTTGCGTTTTCAAATCTTCCTTTGCAGTTACTACCATAACAATTTGAGAGTCCATATAAGGCTGTGAAAAATCAGCGTCATCATATCTATCGTCTACGATAGTTATGTCTGCAACTGCTGCATCCAAACACTATTTAAAGAAAAAATTGATGTTTTAGTATTGTAATTAAGGACTCGCAAGCAAGAAGTTAGGGAGAAATTTATTCAAAAATCCAATCCTTACCTTATTATGAACTGCACGCAACATCTCATCATAGGTGCCATCAAATGGAACAAAATCATAAGAAAAAGGATATGGAAGCTCCTCAACTACGGCTCTAAAAACTTCAACGGAAAATCCACCGAAGGAGCATGTCTTCTCGTCTTGGTCACATCTCACACTGACAAACTCATGGACAGTGGCCAGTCGAGGAACTCCAATTTTTAGTTTCCTTTTCTTTGGAACTGGTTGCACGCCTCCTGGACAGTGAACAAGATCCAATTCCTTGTGCATATCAGTGTTTCTCCTAGTCTCCTTTCTTTCCCGATCTCTGAGATCCATTGAGAAGCCAAACTCTGGTGAGAACGATGCTATATCTGTATAAATTTTCCCAGTCACATTAATGATCTGAAAGGAAGGTTTTTGCCACAATCTTCTGTTCTTGAAGCTGATCTTTCCACTAAGACCTTCAAAATCACTTGAAGAGATGTGATTTATCAGTTTATTTGAGTTCACTTTCCCTTTAGAATTTTGCATGGCTTTTGCAATGGCCCGTGTAGCATCATATGCTTGAAGAGCATACATGCTTGGATATGGATGTTCTTCTTCAGGATATGCTGATTTGAACTTTCTTCGAAACCTGAAACTGAAGTCCCTAAAAGACCTGCTTTTATCCTCATAATTCGCCTTAAATCCAATTATCTCTTTCATGTTTTGGATGACAGAGGGCTCCACAGATTCAATTAGGCTAACAATATCATCGTATACAATCCAAACATTACCTTTTCCCATGATTCCCATTTTCTTGGCCTTCTCAAAAAGAATTGTAGCAAACTCCAAAGAAGACTGCACAATTACAAAAATCCCACTGCTTTTGCTTCTGAACTTATTCAGCTTTTCTTCAATAAAGACATCGGGATTTGGGAGAGAAGATATGGAAGGAAATGCGAGATTGCATTCAACAACAGAATTAAAGGGCTTCAGCGCCTTAGAAAGTTTTTTTGTAAGTTTAGAATCTGCATACAAACTATTGCTTTGTTCATATATGACCGTTACTTTTTGCCATCTAAAGTGGCCAATAAATGCAGCAGCACATTGCATTTGTATGCTCATATCAGTATTCAGCTGAAAAACCGACGGGGGTTGAGGAAGCAGTGGTGATGGAGAAATGGCTGCTGAGCCAATGGTTATTATGGGAGTGCTGGTGACTTCTTCAAATTCTGTGACCTGAGTTGCTTCTTCCAATGTCAATGCTGCAACAAGCCCTTTTACTTTTTTGTGCTTGATAAGCTTAATTGCTGCAACTGCAAATGAATTTGTAACTGAGCCATTTTTACCAGATTGTTTTCTAGCTTTCTCCAAAAAGTTAAATATGCAGCAAGAAAACAACAAAAACTAGCCAGAGTAATAAATTTCAAGAAACATCAACAATTTATAAAAAAGGGGGAGTGTTTCATTAAGTGAGCAAAATCTTTACCAACGGAAGCTGCTCGAGCTGACTTGCCATGTAAATCTTTAATGTGCAAAGCCAGCTTTGAACAAGTCGAAAACTTATTAAAGTCGCTGACAGCCAATTGAATGGCAATACTCTGCTCCTTGCCAACGCGAGAACTTTGATCAATCACGCCCCCTATCCCACGAGTTGTGTAGGAATGACCTACTCGACAATTGCTGCTTTTATTATTTTCTCGTGCTTTAGTTTGATTGAGAACAGCTGAGAAGATGAACAGGAAGAACAGAAGAAGAGAGATATTTCCATGCAAAGTGTTTTTCCCCATGTAATAGCTGGAGAGAATCAGACGTATTGGAGTGCCTTAAAGCTTGATGGACTTAAATCGTTTACTATATATATGTGTGTGGAAGAATCTAAATTGACTTGACAGAATTATTCAAACAGATTAATTAATTGAAATGGCCAAAATTCAAATGATGGTCTTAAGATGTAAATTTACTGGAAAAGATGCATTTTGAATTATCAAACATTCTCGCTTTGATTTCTTTTGTAGTGTCCAAACAGGAAAAGATCAGAGTCCATATACGTATGAAAGTTCAATGTTAAACTATATAGAATACTTCCAGAAGACTTTGAATATGAGTTTAAAGACGATAATTCCATTCTATACAGGGGCGGAGCTAGACTTTGGAAATAGGGGGGGCCTAGAGGTAGAGGTGAAGGGGTGGGGGCCCGTGGGGGTTCTGCCCCCGAAAAAATTTTTTTGATACGTTATTAACAAAAAAATCGAGAAACGTATAAAAGAAAGTATTAATCTTTAGTTTAGCAAAATCATACTTTGATAACGTTGTATAACTATATTATAATTGTGCGAAACTCAGGTGAAAAGTTACTGCATTGGTCGCTCGAGCGAGCCTCTAGCGAAAGTGGAGCGAGGGTTGAGCAGTCGTCAATATTTTCATCATAACTTTCTCTACCAATATCTGATTGTGATGATTCAAATTGTGTTGGAAAGCTAACTTGAAGGGCTACAATTCTTCTAGAAATAGCCATATCCAAATTCTAATGTTTTCGATGTGAAAAATGCGTTGAAAGTGGTAATCACAAAAAAAAAAAATTAAAAAAGATTAAAAAAAAATTTTTGGTCAAAAATGGAAGGGGGGGCCAGGCACCCACCAGGCCCCCCCTTGGCTCCGCCCCTGATTCTATATAGTTTTCCATAAAATGGACGATTAAGTCAAAGATTTTGTAGTGAAGAAACCGTCAATTTGTATCATTTTGTTCCTTACAGAGTAATCGATCGAACATTTCCTGGTATATTATACAAATCAACTATTGGGCATTACCTACTTCGACAGTTCTTTCTACGTAGTCATTAAAAAAATTAACTTTGTCTGATCGGTCATTGCACTTAATTTTTTTTATTTACAAAATTTTGTGAAAGACCATGTCAAAATTTTAATTTTTTTTCCACAATAATATTTAATTTACAAATATAAAAGAAAAGTAAACAACCTTCCATGTTCAGTGCCTTAAAATCTCTGTCAAAATTACATTCGGAATTAATTTAATTACTAATGGTAAAAATTAATATTTTAATTATAGATAATTGGACAAACCAAAAGTAAAATATGAAAAACTACCTTTTATTGCTTTTCAAAATTTGCTGTCGAGGAGTTTGGATTCTTCTATAATCAATTTTTTGAAATTTACCAAACACCTAAAATAATTTCATATTGTTTGAGAATTTGAAGTTGCACTCTAAAATCAATCTCAAACGGGATTTTTATATTTCCCGAATTGGTGTTGATTCATTTCAAAATATTCCAATTGTTAGATTTTTTTTATTTTTTTAAAAATTTTATCAAGTAAATATGTGACATAATCAATTACTTCCCTTTTTCTTGTATTTTAAAATTTTATTTAATTAACCTATGAGTGTGAAGAAACATAAGTTTGACTGATTTGGACAAATGGCACCTAAAATCCTAAATATCATTGGCGTTGCCGACTTGTGTTTGCTAAAGTTTAGAGGGTTAGTTCCTTGAATGTTTACTGAATTTTGTCAAATGTTACTACTTAGTGACTGAATTATCATCTACCACTCAAATGAGAAAAATCGTTAGGTTCAACAAACATCGTCAACTTGAGTGATGGATGAATAATACGGTGCATAGTTCAGTTGAGATACATATTTAAGTTTAGTTATGAAGTAGTAATATTTGACAAAGTTCAACGACCATTGAAATATATTTTTAAGCTCAGTTATTAAGTAGTAACAGTTTCTTTTTCCCTAAAATCGATCTTTGTGAAAGAAGAAAATAAAGAAAATAAAGGGGAAAAAGATGAAAAATCAAATTGATCTCAATTACTTCGGCACTAATTCGAACATTTCTGTACTTTTATGCAATTTTTCTTCGTGAATTTCTTCGATTCTCTCTTTTTATGCGAAGTTTCAGTTGAAGACTAATATGCTAGTCAATAATTTAGCATTGTATATCTTTCATTTGGGCAGCAAAACTTTCAGTTGAAGACTAATATCATCCTTTTATTTCAAAATGGATATTAGAATTTTTATTTTTATTCAATTTATAGGTCTCTGATTTTCTGTTTCCTCTTTTTTCCTTTATTTTCTTTGATTTCTTCTTTCGTAGAGATCGATTTACATGATTTAATAATTGAATTTAAAAATATATCTCAATGATCACTGAACTATGCCAAGTGTTAATACTTAATAACTGAATTTAAAAATGTATCTCAATTATCACTGAATTTTGTCCAATATTACTACTTAATAACCGAATTTAAAAACGTATCTTAATGATCATTGAATTATTCACGATGTTACTCAAGTCGACGCCGTTTGTTACACGTATCGAATTTTTTCACTTGATTGACGAATGAGTAACACATTGCATAGTTTAGAGTTCAGTTACAAAGTAATAATATTTATTGAAGTTTAGTAACAAAGTAATCAATTAATCTTGTTGGACAGGGTCATTGACACCCTCTTGACAAGGATTTAAATTTTCCCACGTGAGAGAGGAAGAGATATTCACGTGAGACCCTGAGAGTTGTTTTGAAGGAACCCACAGCAGAAAATCCCATTAATAACACCGTGCAACCTTCACTAAATTTTTCCCCAACTGAAAAATGTTAGAATCCCATTTGGTGGAAGATTATTTGGCGTGACATCTCCAGCAGCTACCGGTCCGACGAAGAGAAGAATTTTTCCACAAATTAGTAAGCGATTTTTCATCAGATAATTTCGAGAGACTGGTCTGGAGAAGAAAAAAATACGTTAATTTGTTTTTCGTTAATTGATGTACTATTGATGTTTCTTTAGTTATTATTCTGAGATTTCCATGGTGGTGGTGCTGTGGCTTTTAACATTGTTGAAGCTGGGGGTGGTTGGGGAGAGTAGGGATGATATTATAATTTTCTTGTCTTTTATTCATTTCTTATTAAAATTTCATATGTCCTGTTAATTTTAACACCAAATTTGTCGAGAATAATTGTATTTTTTTTAGAGCTTGAGACACTAAATTGCAATTTTCCCATTTTGTAAATTGTGCATGTGTACACTTCTTATTAAAAATTAATTATATTTGCACATCAGCAAATATATTGAAGACAATTTTAACAAATAAAGTGACTCAAGTATTTTATTTTCTAACAAAGAATACAAACTATTTCGACAATCTCAGTACTTAAAGTATCCATGAGTTATGTACTAAATTTTCATTATGTTCTAATTTTGTTGATAAGTATATGCACTCTGTTGAAGTAAAGAATGTGTTTGAGAATAATTTTGTAACTATGTATTATAGTGTTAGTTACTGTATTATTGAACGTGACCGATTATGTTATTGCAACCGAAAAAATTATGGACGAAGTGCCAAACGAGCACAATGATGTTTCAGTGGAGTCGGATGATGAGAACGAGACGGACTCCGTTAACATAGTAGAAGGTCAAACCTTATTGGAAGACTGTGTGATTGTACCTCAGGTGGGTATGCAGTTTACGAATTTAAAGTACATGTTTGACGTGTACAAAAAATATGCATATGCCGTTGGTTTTCCCGTTAAGAAAAGAAACTCGAAAATGGAAGACGATGGAGAATTGATATATGTGACACTGACATATAGCCGTAAAGGTCGAAGACTTGGTAATACTAGCGAATCTTTGAAGCCACAACCAACAATTCAGATGGGCTGTAAAGCTAGAATCTCTGCATCTGCAGATATTTATGGAGCTTGGAGAATTAACACGGTCCACCTCGACCACAATCATGAAACTAGCCCGTCAAAATCTAGGTTATTTCGATGCAACAGAGAGTTAAGCGCACATGTGAAATGCAAGATAAAAGTGAATGGTTTGGCAGGACCTTTGCATAAAAGTTACAATTCTACAGTCATGGAAGCAGGTGGTTTTGAGAACATGAGTTGCGTGGAAAAATATTGTCGAAATTACATTGAAAAAGTAAGACGATTAAGACTTGGAGAAGGAGATACCGCAGTAATACAGTCATACTTTTCAAAAATGCAAGCACGGTACTCAGGATTCTACTTCAGCATGGATTTGGATGAAGATTCGAGGCTGATGAATGTATTTTGGGCAGATAATCTCTGTAGGCAAGCATATAAGGAGTTCGACGATGTTGTTACATTTGATACCACTTACCTGACAAACAAGTATGGCATGCATTTTGCCCCTTTTGTTGGCGTCATTCATCACGGACAATCAACACTACTTGGTTGTGGTTTGATATCGAATGAAGACACAGATACTTTTGTGTGGTTGTTTGGAACATGGCTTCAGTGTATGCACGGTAAGGCATCGCTTGGAATAATTACCGATCAAGATAGGGTAATGCAAAATGCAATTCATATCGTTTTTCCAAACATAAGGCATAGATGGTGTTCGTGGCACATTCTGAAGATGTAGCCTGAGAAGTTCGGATACCACGATGATAAGGCATTGATTTTTCGGGCAACACACGCATTGGTTTATGATTCACAGTTTGTTCAAGAATTTGAAGAAGGTTGGCTGCTTTTATTTATACTTATGTGTTGTAGGATAATGATTGGTTTCCTGGACTATATGAGAACATAGGCCGTTGGGTTCCTTATTTTCTGAAGACTAGTGTCTGGGCAGGGATGTTAACAACACAAAGAAATTAGAGTATGAATGCATTCTTCGATGGGTATGTGCATTCGAAGACCTTACTGAAGCAGTTCGTCGAACAGTATGAACGAACATTGCGTAATAAAGTTGAGAAGGAGTTCCAAGCTGATTTCAAGTTATTTTCGCAAATATTACTGTGTGCAACACAATACAAAATGGAGCAGCAGTTTCAATCAGTTTACACAATCTCAAAATTCAAGAAAGCTCAAGATGAGTTCACGGGGAAGGTTTACTGCGATATCATATCTATTTCGGAGGGGCACTCTGGGACGATGTATAAGGTATAGGAGGATGTCATGTATGACAGGCGACGCAAGAAAAAATATTTCTTCATCTCATTCGACAAACAGAATTGTGATATTGCTTGCAGCTGTCACTTGTTCTAATTTTGGGGAATAGTTTGTTGGCATGCGATTGCAATATTGATTCGTTGTGATGTCACATTACTTCCAGAAAGGTACATACTACTGAGATTGATGAAAGATGTGAGTAGAACACATACCAGGGTGGCAGTGAATTACAACGGTTTGGTTAGTTCTCCTGAACAGTTGAGATACGACGACATGTGTCGCCCTTTTGCGCAGGTGGCAGACCTTGCCGTAGATGATGAAGGTGAATCACGTGTGATTATGGACTAGATAAAACTTAAATGTGAAGATCTTATGACGTCAAAAAAGTCGTGTAGCGGAAGCAATGCCATATCACAACATACTATTCAATTAGCTTATCAGTATACTGATTCTCAAAATAATGTCAGCTTGACTATATGTGATCCGAAATCGTAGCGCACAAAGGGGACGTCGAAAAAGCTTCGAAGAAAGGGTCCATTAGAATCGAGTTCAAAGAAAGCCAATGTATGTTAACACCTTAGACTGTGAACTTTAAATGTGTCAAAATATTAACACTAACTACATTCTATCCACATTTAGGGCAGTTCGACATCGAGCAAAGGGAAGCGCTCGAGAATGAGGCAAAGTGATGTGCCAAAGAGTGTTTTCGACAATCAAGTAGCTCAATCACAACATTATTCCATGTAGACACCATTCTCATATTTACAGTATTCTCATGACCTATGTGGCTTAGGCAACTGATGTTGGTTTATGCTTGATGACATAATTGTCTATCCATGCAAGGAATAAAAGGTTCGTAAGGGGGAATTCTAATATTTTCTACGTTCTCGACCATATATTAATTCTTTGAAGTTTGTCTTAGTGCTTTTGGTGTTGCAGAGTTTCTTATTGCTTTTGGTGCTTCATGCCTTCCTCCAAGCCCTTTCGTTGTCCGGTTTTGATCTAGAGCATTTTGGGCCCCCACATATTGAGATAACTTGGGTAATGACTAATTTCTTGCTTGGGATTATGAAAATTTATCTATATAATATAAAATCTCTATGCATATTCCCCCTCTATCGGATGGTATAGGATCCTTGGTATAGTATTACTTACTTTTATTCACTGATCTTAATATCATCAGAGCTATTTTTGAGTCCCAGTGCTATTCTACATATGCATAACTCTTCTTTACTTTCATGTACATGTTCTTTTCACTTAGTTTTTTCATGAAACTTGCGAGAATTTTCATTGGGCTTCAAACTTATGAAAACAAAAAATGGAAATACCAAGAACTGTCATGCAGCAGCTGTGTTTGTTTTGTGAAATAAGTTCTTTCGTTTGTTGGTTTGTTCTTATAAAATGGTACTCGTGTTTTCTTGTGTTCTATTAGTTTGTATTGGCAACTTCCCAGAGATTTTTAAAGAACTTGCATTGTCTGAATTTTAATTGAGACATATATAGCTTACCCAATATTCGAGTTTTATTATGTGCTCAGTTTGTTGTTCCATTGGTTGTCTAATTATTGTTTTTCCCGAATTCTTGTAATATGTAATAAGAGTTTGGCTACATACTTGATCTTAGTTACGAATACTGAATATATGATAAAATATATTGTAGTATAAAAACTATAGATTGGATTACTCTACGAGGGATTAATAAACTTGACCATATTTTATTTTTTTATTTTTTTTAGATTAGATGAAAAATAGGATTCTTATATTTATAAATTCAGATGGTTTTTAGGTTTGCAGTTAGGAAATTAGTAATAGAACTCAAATAAACCAATATGCAGACAACATAAGATGAACTGCTTTCTTTTTCCCACGAATGCTTAGGAAAGGACATGCATGTTTTCGAGCTATGTAAGTAATAAACAAATACACATCTTCAAACATAGTTACAAATAGAAATTATTGGATCTGGATGAGACTAATACACTAAACAATGAAACTATTTCGAGTGCGCTAACAACATTGAAATGGGAAACTAATTCATTGCCAATGCAGAATCCATGAAAAAATAAACAGTTTATTTAGGTAACTGCAAACCTGCCTACACAAATTGAAGACAAGAGCTCTAGAAGTACAAAAACGCTAACACAAAAACCAAGACTATAAAGTATAAACTATATAAACCAGAATATAGGGTCGAGGTATGAGTTTGATGGGTATTGTCAGTTATTTTATACAAAAGTTTACATTCAAATAGTTTATGAACATAGTTCACATAGATTCGGTCATAATAAACATATACAAAAGTTCATGTAACCATTCGATTAATAACTACTAATGAAGGTGACGCCACCACTCATGTATTTGACTCCGTGCTACCTTTTACCTTGCATACTGTCACGTTTACCGACATTCGAGGGTCTACTTCATCGTTGACGCGAATGTGAGATTGGAACATTTGCGACAGATGGTCAACTCTTTCGACCGCCGTATGGTTAACTAAGGAAGTGCTACCACTAGAGGATTCACCGCTTGATTTTTCTTTGACAACCCAATCCCAAAAACCACAATTGTCACCGCAGCAAAGAAATAATCGCCCTTTATTTGTAGTTTCATTCTCAACCACGAAACACTTTTCAAATCCATGCTTGCATGATGGACATCGGCGTTTCCGTGGGCATTCGGAAAAGTAGTGGCTTTTAGATCTACAATTATGACATATTCCAACATTCCTTCTGACCATTCTGCGATAGGAATAAATCACATAGCAATAGCATTTGAACAGAAATAATATGAAAACTAAATATAAATTGACTATGATTTAGCCTCATTAATTAGCATATTCTGGATAATTAATATGGGATGTAGCATGTCATGAATTTTTGTGGGATAAGGAAACTCAAGTCTAGAAATAAAATTATTTCCCTTTATGATCTAAGTAAGAAGTTCAGGGAGAATCGGTTACAGTCTTCAAGGCCACCGCCCTGTCCCCGTCTAAAGACTGAAAATTTTCATCATTATCCTTCTTTGAATAACTAAATTCCTTGGACGAATGAATAATCTCACATTCAGGTACAACAATTAGCAAGGGAATACCTACAGCTCACCGCATAAAAGTTCTTAGCCTATGGACATTCAGGCAGAAGTTTCTTGATCAACCGTCTTTACTTATTTCAGGTAGCAGTTAAATGAAGAACGTGACCGTAGAATACTTGGATGTTTGCTTATAGTTGTGGAGCACAAATATAAGCTCTATATTGCAAAATAAGTGGTTTCTCAATATAAATTTCAGCACAAATTCATATCGTGTACAATTATAGGTGATAAGATACAAATTCATATCCTGTACAATTAACAGTTACCCAAATTACATCCAATATGAAGGTCAATTTTCTTAGCAGCCCACAAAATTGAGTACCAAATTACTTGAACAAGTCTTTCTCAAATCAAGAATATTCTCCTAAGCAATTGCTGTAAAGAAAAGGACAAAACTGATTACTACTATATATCCAAATGGCAATTGAATCGGGACTCTAAAGTTTCCACCTTCAACACTTTCATGGAAGCCTCACAATTCGGCAATTTCGGCAATTCTACTACATATGCATTACAAGTTGAAGGGTCAAAGCAGCGAATGGACTTGTACATGACCCGATATGGAGTAAAACATCTGCTTTTATTTTCTATGGACATATTGCACTGGTTTTTACTCCATATCGAGTCTTGGACGAGTCCCATTCAGCTGTTATTTTTTTTGGCTTTGGCAAAAACAATTGAAGCACCCGCAGGCATAATTTTGAAGTTCAATTGCTCGTTTCAGATTTTTGGGGTCTCAAACCTTAAACAAGTATCCAAATTTAAGTGAATTTTACCCTCCATTGTAGCATTTAGTCGATTACAACAATGAATATCAAATTATATGTATTTTACAGCAATAAAATTAACAGAGAAATTATGATTCACTTTCTCTCTAAATTGTTGTTGCCTCTCCTATCTTTTCGGTAGCATTGACTGCCTCTCATTCAGTTGAGCGCATAAAAACACATGGATATGGAATATTATGCTCAAATACAGAAGGAATTGTACTATTAGAAATCATACCTTGACTTAAAATGAGGTAAATGAAAAGGTAAGGAGACTTGGAAAGTAGAGAGGGGAATGAGGAGGCAGCTTTAACCTAGGAACTATAAATGCACCTTTGAAATCAGGGTTCCTTTCCATCGTTGTCCTGTTCAACCGGTTAACTTTGATATCCAACATGAATGAAAGAAAATAAACACACAATATAAGATACTAAACAAGAATTCAATAACCCAGCTTAATTAAAGGAGAAATTACAGAGCATTAACGAAAGAGAGTGGAACACAAATAAGTATGCAACGAAAATGGGGAAAATACGGTTTCACAGCAACCTAAAAACTTTCAACTTCGTTTTTCATCTTAGATAGAGTAACAGTTAACCACGAGAAGAAGAGCAACCGGAGTGGAGCAGAAAATGTTGAGTGCAGTGCGATTGAAGATCCAAAATCGTCAGGTGCCGAAACAGTAGATGGAAGTGCTGCCGGAGGAGCGATGGTACCTTACATTGACGTGTAGTCGGAGATGGTGACGGTGTGACATTTGATTTGGGTGGAATTGATTGTGTGGGTGGTGGGTGTCAATTTGGGGGTGGGGGGTGTCGGCGTTGGTGAGGTCTCTCAATTTTTTTCTTTATCTTTTTTTATTTGTTTTTTATCTGCATTCCACTTCAGCCGATAAATACCCTGTCAATGAACCTGGATGTGTAGCGGGACTGCAAAGTTAATATTAGGACCTTGCTACTTGTACAAAAGAATTTGTACAAAAATGTTGATAAACACTCACATGTGGGGGGATTCACTTTTTATTTTCAATTTTTTATTCATGTGGGGCCGACAATCATGTGAGTATTTGTCAATATTTTTGTCAAATTCTTTTTGTACAAATAGCTTTATTCTTAATATTAACCTAAAGTTTAGAGGGAAGAAGATGGCTTCATTTCCTGTCCAATTGCCTTCACATTCCCAATCAGTCAAGAGAAAATGATCTGATAAATTACTTAATTATTTTAAATGGCTTCTTTTGCTTCCTCAATTTTACCAAATATTCAATCGCTCCACAGAAAACCCATCTCTTTAAATTTGCTTTTAACCCCATCTTTAGTCACTTTTCCGTTGAATAGCTCTCGCTTGTGCATCCGTTGCGCAATAAAGACTGGTTCGAATGGCATTGTGGTTCGGAGCGGGCAGGACTCGCAGTCTTATGCTTCGTATATGTTGAGAAAGCCGGTGATCTTGCCCCCGTTTGATGGAGGTGACGGTGATGGCGAGTCGGCGAAGGTAGATTCTTATTATGAAAGTGAGAATAAGAGTGGAGATGGTGACACGTTGGTCGATTTGGAAGATCAGATTTTGGCGGTTACTGTGCCTCTTGTTGACATTGTGAGGATTATTCTTCATTCTGGAAAGTAAGGTCCTCAAGTTTTTCCTTTGATCATTTCAGTATGTGTACGACTTTTAATCCTTCTCTAGTTTTTTTTTTTTTAACAATAACATTTTTGCTAGACCGGAGTTGCTGTATTGAAATGATATTATGATAGTGTTATTTAAAGAATCTAGATCACATGTGATGGCTAGTAATTTGAACCCATGAAAATAAAATCAATTTGTGAGTTATGGAATAGAATATTGTCTTCTAAAACGCAATTGAAATGTGAAAAACTCTCATGCGTTCTCTTTGCAGTTTTCGGGCCATTTTCTGTTTTCGATTTTTCAAAACGGTAAAAATGCGTTCTCTTTCCTATTTCCAAAAACGCGTTTTCGAAAACGAAATTTTTTTTTACACTGTTTTCCTGCAAAATCAAGCCAAAATTGAAAACACGGGAAATGGAATTATTGTTCCTTCTTCCTTCCACAATCTGTATTTTCCTTATCTCATCTCGCCGGTTTCTCTCCTCCAACGCCGGTGACCACCACTACACCACCACTACCACAGCCAAACATCTCTCCATCTCATCACCAGAAAGACTCAAGCACCGCACAAATCGCCGATTAGAACCAGAAGCAAAATAAAAAAGAAAAGGGAGAAAAGGAGTCGCACCCAACCACCGCCGCAGCCAAAATCGCACCCAATCACCGCCACAGCCAAAATCGCACCCCAACCACAGTCAAATTCGCACCCAAATTCACACCCAACCACAGCCAAAATTGCACCCAACCACCGTTCACATAGAGGGAAGGGGAAGAAGAGAGAGAGACATGACGGTGAGGACGGGAAGAAGGGAGAGAGACGCACGGAGAGAGAGAGAGGGTGGAAGAAAGACGCGAAATGATTTGGGGAAAAGAAAACGCGTTTTCCATTTTTAGTTTTTGGAAATGATTTTTCAAAATACCAAAAAGAACACATTTTCAACAACTTCAAAATAGACACTCAAAACACATAGTTCAAAACGAATTGAAAACTCAAAACGGAAAATTGAAACACGAAGAGAATGGCACCAATGGGTTGTTCTCTTCGTGTTTCAGTTTTTCGTTTTGAGTTTTGAATTCATTTTGAATTTTGTGTTTTGAGTGTCCTTTTTAAGATTGTTGAAAATGTGTTCTTTTTGTCATTTTGAAAAATTATTTTCAAAAACCAAAAATTGGAAAATGTGTTCTCTTCTTCCTCTCTCTCTCTCTCTCTCTCTCTCTCTCTCTCTCTCTCCCCCTTCCTTACGACACCTCGCAAGGCCGTCGGTGCCCAAGATCGGCTTCTTCTGCTGTTGGGTGTGGCGGCGTCGTCTCTCTCTCTTTTCTTCCCCTCCTCTCTTCTGTTGGTTGGATGCGGCGGCGCTGGTTGTGTGGTTTTGAGTTGTGTGGTTTTAGGTCGGTTGTGTGGTGTTGGGTGTGGCAGTGGCGGTGGCGATGGCGATGGTTTTGGGTCACCACCAACAAAAACCACCTAAAAACAGGTGGTGTGTGGTGGTTTTGGCGATGCGGCGGCGGTGTGGTTCGGGTGGTGTGTGTAGGCAGCGATGGAGGTAGTTTTTGTTGGTGGCGCAACTGAAAACAGCCAAAACGCATTTTGAGAATTTTGGCTTGGTTTTAACTAAAAACCCCTAAAACGACATTTTTGACGTTTTCAGTTTTCTTTTTAAATTTTAAACTTGTTTTTGGAAATTCGTTTTTGAAAATAGGTAAGTAAACGTGTTTTCACTATTTTGGAAAATCGAAAACAGAAAACGGGGATGAAAAGGGCAAAGAGAACCGCCCCTAAGATATTCTACTTGCTGTATTATCTAGAGGTCTGGATGTTATAATAGACTTCAGATTCTGATAGCCTAAAGAAGGTTTACTGGTGTTAATGTTTGGGGCAGCTTATAAGTATGCTTCATAAGCCACCCCTAGCATGCTTAGCTATGAAAACACGGAACTCTATTCCATGCCAGTTTGACTACCTCAAGTGAATATCTTTTAGGTTGTGGATATTAAAATATTAGGAACTCCTATAAGCTTTTAATCTAATCCTGAAGTACGGATATGTTTGATAATGTTGATACATCTGTGGATGAGCATGTGGAAAATGAAAAGAAACTAGAGGGCAAAGATTTATTTTTTTGCAGTCAAAAATGTGAACAGATTTTTGTTGACTAGCAGCACTAAAGACTCTGCTAGTTCCGATTCTTTCTTCTGTGGAGTTGAGTAATGGAAGTTGGGTCTGATTCCCCCAAGATGCTGATCTTCACTTGTTCAGGAATTAGACGGATAGGTGCAGCAAACCATACTGGGATGGATTGAACATCATTTATGACTTCACACACCTTTGAGTCCCGGCATTCATGTTACTGTGCTAGTGTATATCGTCCCAATGTAAAATTCTAGGAAGCACTGTAACTTTGGGCTCAGTATATAATGCTCAACCCCCTCTTGTTTGGTTCCAGATGAACATATCTTCTTTCTGTATATTTCTTCATAAATTGAGATATGAGATTGAGCAAAATCCTGATGAGCACTGACTTTGAAACTCTGACACCTAATTGTCTCAGTAAATTATTAGCATTTCCAGTGTTATATGGAGGTTAAAATGTAATGCTTTCTTTATTGAATTAGCCACCTTCAGTTTTAAGTTTGAACTATCTATTATTAGACAGTTCACCAGATATTCCCTACTTTGACATTTGATTTTTGTTTTATTCAAAACCCGTGCCTGTTTTTATATCAGTTTAAAAGATTAGGGCTATTGCCCAGAAGACTCGTTAGATTTTAAATCGACTGCTTGAAAATCATGTTGGTGATAAGGCTTAACAAAGTGGGTGCTACAATGTATCATTCAAAGAATGGTCCATAGTTGTGGATCATACACGCCGAGAAAGAGCAATATATCAATAATATGTGAAACAACTTAATTGATAAAAGAATCATTGGACGATACCGAGTACTTGCTTGAGTTAAGGCATAAGCATTAGCACAAACCATAAAATAATTCAGAATTTTAAAAGACAAAAATATCCTCGTAATAAACCATAAGTCATAAATCCTCTTGAAAACCCATAATGAAACAATTAAACAAAAATACACAATTGAAAAGTCTGACTTGCAATAGATTAATATAGTATCAAATAGTAGATCGTAATCTACTGCTAGAACTAAAAATAAAAAATAAAAAATAAGTCCTGTATAGAATCATAAGCATTTGGTTTCTTAATCATCCTCTTGTTACTATTAGTTTCTTTCCATTCTTTTTCCTTGTTGTCTATTTGCAACGTTGTATTCTCCTTCCCTTCCCCTTTCCCTATAAAAAATAAAAAATCATAGACACAGTAAAAAGAAAAATATAAGAGAGAATATGGTAAAATTACACGTGGTAGTATTTTGCACCAGCATTTTGTGCTCTGAAACATGGAAAGGGTTTGTTGCATTTCAGGTTAGAAGGATGAGGCACGCTTGCTCTTTAGTCTTTTGTCTCTTCTTAAAATCATTTTTTTTTTAGTTATAAGGGTAATGTTGTGCTTAAAGTAGCCTAAAAAAATCTTAACATATTCTAGGTTCGATAAATCCAAAAACTTAAGTCCATTAAGGCCAAAAATACAAAGACCAGAATAAGCAAGACAAATGAGCTCGCACCTCAGCCTCCAAGAGGCTTATGCCTTAACCAATGCACCTGATAAGTCAAGTTTTGAGTTTGGACAATGGCACGCAAGGCATATGCTTCATGATGCTTAAAGAAGGCCTCATGTGAAGCTTGCATTGAGGCATATGCCTTGGTTGCTTTTTGAAACATGTGGGTGCATTCTCTCAAGTGTTAAAAGGACAAAGAATTTGATTTTATAAGCTTGAAATGTACGGCTTTTGTAAGGATGAGATTAGTTTACTGTTCTTTGATTATGGGATCATAAAATCTGAATTATAACTTTGACCACAATGTTTGTAGCTATTTTCAGTTCATGAGCATGATATGTGATTGTAACTTCTACAAGTACGCTGCAACCTGTAATTTATCTTACACGTGCATTTAATATACACTATGAGATTGTTAATCTTCCCTACCCCTGTTGGTCTATTAGTGCATAAATATGGTAGGCAATTTTGGTCAATTGCATTTTGTTGACTCGATCTTTCTTTCTCTCTCTCTCTTCCAGATATGAAAATGGTGATAAGTTAAGTCCAGAACACAAGAGAACAATTCTAGAAAGGTTGCTTCCTTATCATCCAGAGTTTGTAAAGAAGATTGGATGTGGAGTTGACTATATCACGGTCTCTCACTGGGCTTAATTGCATGATTTTTCATTAGCTTTTGCTGAGTTTATATTATTATAGCAAGGAAAGAAAAGAAGAAAGAGGGTTCAGGTGCACATCTGAAGTTTCTTTTAAGAAATAAAATATAAAAAATAAGTACTTTGTAATAAAAATGGTAGAACGTCTAGAAAAGAAAAGTGAGCAACCAGAAACTTGCTCGAAGTGACGCCTGAAGAGAAGTGATTGATTTATGTTCCGTAGAATGCATCCTAACTTGTGTAGTAATCATTTGCAACATGCATTATATGGGTCCAAACATGTAGAACCATGCGCTTGGGTATGCATAGCAAAGTGGACATGTTAATTTGGTCACTTTGTACAGATTTCTTGAGCCGTCCATGGTTGCTAGGGCACACCATCTGCTCAGTGGACTGAAATTAATTTGATTGATGCTTAAAAATTGTCGTAGAATCGATAATAAAGTATAATACGTTATTTATATTCTAGAAATTTGTGTAACAATTTCCATACTCAGTTTTATGTCTTTGTTATATGCAGAGTTTTAATCCATGTAATCTAGGAAGCTTTTTCGTCTAAGCAATTTTAAGAATACCAGTCCTGTTTGTATACTTCAACATGTTCAATCTCTCTTTGAATGAATAATTTTTTTTTCTAATTGCAATTTTGAGAATTGTTTTCACCCATCTTGGATTAATTTTGTGCATCTATAACGAGAAATTGTAAACTGAACCAGATGTAATCTAGAGTTGGATTTGTCAATAACATTTAATTCTGGGTAAGTTTCTATATTTAAGTAATGATCAAAGGGATTGATTCAATTTTGTTCTGGATTTTGGGGTTTTGGTGGGACTAAGGAAGGTATGATTTTATTGAAATGTACTATGACTGGTTGTTACTTGGTCATTTTAAGTTGAGATGAATCACAAGTATGGAAGTTGTTACCTACTTAGGAGATAGTGACACATAGGCTTGCATCAAGGTTCTATCTTAAGAATTCATCTTTTGGCTTTAGTGATGGATGAGCTTACGAGACAGACAGAAGATGAGTTCCTTGGTGTATGGTATTCGTTCGCGATTCTAGGAACAAGATGTGTTGTAAATTAGAACTTTAGACGAGCACCTTGAAATCTAAAGGTTAAGATCATCTGTGAATACCTACTGTCATTTAAGTTATAGTAGGAATAAGGTGGAGTTGTTGTAGAGGATCACATTGTCCTCCGAAATGAGTGTTTTTGGATATTTTAGGTTTGATTATAAACGAGGGGGCTTGAGAATGATGAAATTCATAAGCTTAAAGCCGGTTAGATAAAATGGTGAAGTTTTTTGGGATTCTAAAAAATAGGAAGATACAGGAATTCTATGTGATAGGAAGACACTTGTAAGGTTAGAAAGCAAGTATTACACAATTAAATTTTCCCCACTCTGCTTTATGGCAATGCTTATTGGATCGTTTTTGAAACAAAAAGATAGATTTAGCATAAGTGAGGATCTTAAGATGCATGTGTGGTTACATTAAAAATTGAAGAATATTAGGAATGAGAATATATGCTAACAAGTAGAGGTATCACCTTGGATAAATTGAAAGAAGGATAGCTTGGGTTGTCCTATATTATGCATAAACTTAAGCCCCTGATTGATTGCCATTATTTTGAGAAAATAGAGGGTGTGTTTGAACCACATTATTTTGGAAGAATGTATTTTGAAATAGTAGATTGATGGAGAATGAGTGGTTGAAAAGGAAAGAAAAATTATTGATGTGATGAAAAATATTATTTTATCTAAGAATGTGTGGTTGAAAATGAGTAGAAGAATGAGAATGAGAATTTTAATGTGACTCAAACAGAGGCAGAGTTTTGAATATTGATTTTTTTGAGAATGTGTGGTTAAAAAGTACGGAAAAGTTTTAGGTTTACGTGCAAAATATTTTATTGTGTAAATGTGTGATTGAAATGAGTATTAAAAATACTGAGTTTTAACAGGGCTAAAAAAGTTCACATTCCCTATAGTACATTTTATTAGTTGGAGGTACTCCAATATTAACATGGCTTGATGTGGTTGCAAATGATTTGATCACACTAAATCTTCCTAGATGTAGCGATGATTCGAATGGATTATTGAGTATATTATATATTTGTGGGTAAGAAAACTATAAAGTTACTCTTTTTAGTTATTAGGGTTACAAAAGGCTCTATTTGGTTGTGAAAACTCTATAGAAAGCAATATATGGGAAAACAGATAAAGATAAACCTTAGGAAAAGCAAATCAGATATATAACTACCTGCATTGAATTAATATACGGGAAAATATGCTCTTGAGCAAGGATTGTTTTGAACTGAAAATTTCCTTCTTCAGTTGTGGGATGTTACGATTTTCTTTCGACAACCAAATGCTTTAGAAATGGATAATCAGGAATTGGAAGTTTCTTTCACCATTCCTTTCCCACTATTTTCTGTTTACGATGCACCCAAATGATTCACTTATCCACAAGATCCTTTGGTTGGTGAATTCGATATTTCATATATAAATATAATTAATTATTCCATTAAAGCTTCATTTGAAAATATTGCTGATTGCTGTGCGTTCCTCCTTTGTACTTGACAGATTGACGACCATCCTAATTTTGAAGGCTCGCGATGTTTATTTATAGTTCGGAATGATGGAGAACTGGTTGACTTCTCATACTGGAAATGCATTAAAGGTTTGATCCAAAAAAAATATCCTCTGTATGCAGACAGGTTCATACTCAGGCATTATCGGATACCATAATTGAAGGTATACATTTGAACTTGCGCTCGTCTACATTTATATTCCTCAAAAATTTCCTATATGGCTTTAGGCTTTGGAATATCATTCAATTGTGCTGATGCTCAATGTATTAGTTAGAGGTGATGTTCAGAACTCTTGTTCTTTATTTGTTTGGAAATTGGAATAATCTTTCTCCTAAGAGTATTTAAGTTGGTTTCTGATTGATAAAAAAAGTTGGATATAGTTTCTTGTTCTTCGAGCATTAGCTTTCTGTTATTGAGATAAAGCTTTACCTTTGAAAACAAGGGCTTCCTTTTTTTTTTTGCTCCCCTTTTTTGCATCATTATTTCACTTGTTTGTGGGTAGAAAACAATACCAGGAAAGTGTTCTTCATTATCTGGTGGTAATTTAATATTCTATGCTTCTTAAACATCAACAAAATTAACTGATAGCTGCTCAATTTTCCCCCGTCTACTGGTGTTACTACTTGAAAACAAGAATCCATAATAACAATTAATTGAAGATTAAGAAATGTCCTTTTAAGTTTTTAATAATTGGAAGAAATAGCAGATATTATTTAACTGGCATTTTGTTCTCTAAAGCTCCTCTAGTTCTAGGAGTGCCTATATGGAATTCATCTTCCCAAGTTTACTGTTGTCGTTGCTAAACTCTGCTCAAGTCACTATGGACTCTCCATTACATCTTGAGATAAAACTTCCAAGTCCTACAGGGGAGCTTGATCTCCTACTTCACTTCATTTTCTTCTTCATTATGTTCACTATGTTCAATAGGGTAGTTCATCTTCTCCGATAGCTTGTGAGCAATCTATGAAGCTTTCAGCTTTTGCCTGCAATTCGTTTAGGTAAATTAGTCATCTAAAGTTGCCACATACAGATGTTATTTTTGCTCCATACCACCCTGGGATTCACCAAACGCAAAAGTTAAATATGCATCGATCCATGGTTCTTTACTTGTGCAATGATAGATAGTGGGTGAAAAGTTCGGAAATCAATTTTTCTTAAACTCATAAAATAATTTTTCACATGGATCCATAATTTTTTCTTACATTTCAATTACACGTACTATAAAAAAATATTTTTCACTTCAAATAATTTCTCCCAAATAAATTATTAATTGACTGAGCGAGATGGTGAGAAAAAGATTTAGATAATCTGTTTTAAATTTGGATTTGTCTTCTTGTACATAATTTTTTTCACGATAATGGTGTCCATACACACACAAGTGGTGGGACTCACTTGAATATTTTATTTGAATGGATTATGTACACTAAGCATGACTCTTTAAATTTATCAAGAATGAACATATGTAATGTTTTATATTCTCGAGGAAAAATTAAAGTTGCGTTCTCCATCTTTTTATATAGTGTGATTATGGGTTCCTAATCTTTAAAAGTGCGATCTTTTTTGAACTTATTTAAATATGTGAATTGGAATACCTATGTGATCAAAACTGTCAATGTGGATGTAAAAATAAAGTGGAATTTTCAATTGAATCGGAGAGAAATGTTAAGTTGTACGATCATTGATCAGTTGAGATTTAAATTTGAATTTAAGTAAATTGAGAAGCTAAATCTTTACTTTTTAAAATTGAGAACCCATAACCACACTTCCCATTCTTAAATCAGAAAAGAATTCCATTTTAGGTTGAAGTTGAGACAGGACTACAGAGGCGATTCTGGGCGGGGGAGACTTTCCTAGTTTTAGGCTTTTAGCACATGTTTGAGTTGAAAATGAATTTTGTAACCGTGAATTTTTGGGAAACAGATGGTTAAAAAGTAAGAAAATTTTTAATTTATTTATCATCACGATGATGAAACAAAGGTGATGTAATAATTCATTATTCTTCACAATTTTCTCTCTCTTCTCCCCATATTTCTCTCTTATAAAAATTGAATTGTCTAATTTTATTATTATTATTATTTTTTATAACCGTGGATGTTCGGGCCAATTTCGCGCACCTCGACTAATCTTACGGGACATTGAAATTTAAGGTCGAATACTCACTTCAGTGACTTGAGAGGACTCGAACTGGTGATCATTGTTGAGCAAATCCAAGGTTTGACCAATTGAACAAACCCTAAATATTCCAATTTTATTGTTCCACATAACTAGATTGTCATATCATCGATATTTCATCATCATAATGATAAATAACATTATTGATCGTATAATTTTGTCTTGCAAAAGGGAATTCTTGAAAGCTATGCACATCGATACGTGTCGTCTTAGAACCAGACTATAAAACAATAATTGATCAATATTAATTCATCTGTGGACAGGTAGGAGCATGCACGTGCTCACACTTGATAGTTAGTTAAACAACCAAGGGTCACACTATCAAATTCCAAACACCAATAATAAAGGGTAACAATAGTCAATTATGGAGGTGAATGATTATTGAGAGATTGACTTAGAAAGTGGCAAAAGGATAAAGGGGTCACCGACAAAAATTATTATGATAAGAGTCCTAGGTTTGATTAATGTCTGGCTTACGCTAGAATTAGCACTTTCGGCCATAATTTTGTCTGAAGGGCAAAATAAAAAGGTCTGAAAAAGTTAAAAGAATTTCATCTTAAAAGATCGATTTTATTTGAAGGAGTAGTCTAAGTTCTTATAAATTGGTTAGTGTTTGCATATTTATATGATATGGGATTTTTATTGAAACTATAGAGCTTAATTATTGTCGTTGTTTGAAGTTACACGGATTGATCTCCTTGGTGAGGTTTTCGTAGGCCTTGGAAGGGGAAAAGTGCAGTCTTCTGACTAAAATTTTATTAAGAACATGTTAGAAAATTTCAAACTTGTAATTTCAATTTTTTTGCCCTCGAACTAAAATTTCATTAGTGTTTATTTAGGAAATTTCATACTTATTATTTCGATTTTGTCCTAATTTATTTTATAAAATGGTGAGTCGTCATTAGAGTTTTGTATTACCATTGAAAAAGGAGAAAGATGTTAAAGAAGATAGGGTATATGATTTTCTCTTGTAAATTTCTTTTCATCATAATGATTTATTACAACAGCGAATGAGGACGCAGTTTCATATTGAGGCGAACATTTATATATCTTGCGTGTTCTTGTTTCCATTTTCCTTCTGAAATTTTATTGCTCTTGGTGGTAGCATTAAGGATTCTAATCCTCAACAATTTTATCATTAACATGCTCCACAAGATGGTAATTCGTTTGAGCACACCTATATTGTAGTTGAATTAACTTAAATAACCTATCAATAATGTCGATTTGTTTGTTTTGAAATTTACGAAACTTTGATACCATATTAAATTTAAGTTCCATCTTAAAAGATCAATCATGTTTAGAGGGATAATTCATATCTTTATACATTATTTATTTATGTCACCTTTAATCGATATGAAGTTTTAACCTTAACAAGCCTCAACTTTCCATTAGCATGAATAACAATAGCATTTGTCAAATCAAAAGTCCTTTACAATGCTCTCATCTCTAGCCACTTTGCACTACCTTTTCTTTTCCCTCTCCATTGGGCATCCATGATTAAGATTGATGTGCAAACTAAATACCATGGAATAAATAATTTTAGAAAGAGATAGAACGAGTTTGTCTTTTGCAATGTTGTCAAATATCCAAAGGCACAATCAGATTTTCATCAATCGACAAATCTCGATGTGGGATCGTTGTGTCAATCTACCCATATTTAACGTTTGTCGGTTTTGGAGTCAAAAGTTGTGAATATTGTTATATTCTTTCTCGTGATAAAAAGGTTAATGAAAAAAGAAGGTAAAGAAGCAACAAAGAAAAGTATTGAAGATTAGAAAAATGAAATTCAACGTAAAAATGATGATCGTCTACGGATCAAAATCTTGACTGTATCAAGTTTAGTCATCGTTATGATGGTTCATATGTTGATCAACAATTAATGTTAGTTTCCATTATTTTGCAATAAATAAATACTCTATTCTATAAATTTTTATTCTTTTATATAAATAAATAACAAGATAGTTACGTTATAATATTAAATACTATCATTCTATGGTCATAAAAAGAGTTGAAATTGGATTTTAATTATGAAATACCTCTCCACAAAACCGTGTCCCGTAATGGTGATATGTTTGAAAATTCACACAACCATGATGTCATAATGACATCATCAATTAGGATTGCCTCAACTATTTATTTTTTGAATTTTTTTTTCCACGTTGAGATATTATACCCATAGTTATTAGATCGATTAGGGCTATCATCCGATCAACTCACGGGTTACAAGGTTTTTGGTTCGCTAATATTCCTTGTGGAGCATCATCCGATCAACTCACGGGTTACTAGGTTTCTGGTTCGCTAATATTCATTGTGGAGCTCAATAGTTCGATTTTTGACGGCATAACACTCATTGTTTATTTAAAAAAAATTGTTTAACTAGGTCAAGCAGTTTGATCTAAAATCGTCGATTTGATCAGATTCAGACCGGCTCTTGATTGATTCAACTGCATAACTAATTCAATCAAATTTTTATAACACATTATACCAAAAATCGATTACTAATAGTTAAAGTTCGAATAAATTATGCATGTTGAAAGAAATTTGTGGACGATATGTTGTCCTCCACTTAGTTCTAAGATTATTATTTTTAGTTAAAAATGTTAGAAGTTCATAGCTAAATTTGAGATACTATTTCAATATATCACATATATCTTTAACTTTGGATTGTAAAGGAATTTGAGTTCATAATCTTAGTCTTGCCCAATCTATCATTATGTTGATATGTTGACTTCATCATCATGTTTGATTTGTAGCTATCGATGTTACCGTACCACAACAAGAAATGTCATGTTAACACGACATTTTAAGTATAAAAGAAAATCTATGTATACAACTATAGGAGGAAAGATATCCGTATTAAACAAGAAACTAACAATGTCGTAAAATAATTATATATTGCCTATCATAATTAGGACACTTGTCATCACTGCGGTCATACCCTTTCAAGCTTTGAAGAGTCATCCACAAGAACATAAATAAGAGGATATAAACGTTTTGAAGTTATTAATATTTAGCTGCATCATTGATCTTTCTTTGTCACTGCATGCTAAGCTCAAACAGTTTACTTATAAGTAGATTTTTAAATGATTGCCATTTTATGGTTAGAATTGAGAGAGCATATTTGGATAAGTTTAAGTTTACTTTTAAGTAAAAATTATTTTTATTGGTGAACACTAACATGAAGTAGGGTAATTCTAGAGGTGTTAAATGGAACGAGTTAATCATTAGCTCAGCTCGCCTAGAATGCAAGCACTGGGATGAGTCGAGCCTGATTTTCTTTGTACAAGCTGCTCGTTGTAGAAAACCCTTACAAGATTGGTCATTTTGTCCCGTTTAAAATTTTGTTGCAAAAGCAACAAGTGATTGACAACAACGGCATATTTGATTTCTCAAGTAATGGTTGCTTGATAAATTTGAACTTTTTTTATTATTATTTTCCTTCTTCCTCACGTGGTATAAAATGAAGGGAAAATTCAGTCATGATATAAAACCTCTCACTTTTATGCAAACTGAATCCAAACCTTTAATTTGTGGCACGTACAATAATAAACCTTTCAAAAATTAGCATTTGAAGTCCAAATGGATTGTTTATGTTAATTTGATCGTTAGTTGTCCATAAGGAAAGTTTGACCTCTTTTTATCAATTTTGACCAATTTAAAAGGGTTAAAAGAGTACTTTTATATTATTCTACGTAAGATAAATATATTAATTAAATAAAATATATAAAAAAAGGTCTTCTTCTTCTTCTTCTTCTTCTTCTTCCCTCCACCTCCACCTCCACCTCCACCTCGTACCCCAAACCAAATCCAAATTCAAATCCAAGGTTTGGTATTGTGCTTGCTACAAATTAAAGGTTTGGATCAGCCTCCATAAACGTGAAAGATTTGGTATCTTAA